ATGAGCCTGTTACGAGAAACGTTTCCCGTCTCGCGCTCACACGGCGCGCACCAGGTCCCGAGCCGGCCGCCCGCTGGGCGCCTGGCGCCGAGCCCCGGCCCGCACCCCTCTACAGCTGCCCGCACTGGCCGCTCCGAGGGAGGATACGGACGCCGCCAGACAGTGGCCTCTCACACCCCATCGTGCCTCCACAAATGCGTCCTCTGGCAACCGACCCGCCGACTGACAGTGGCGGACAGCGCGGGATCCGCGGTTTGGGGAGAGAGCCGCGCCCTCCCCACTAGCGTTCAGTTGACAACGCGCGCGGGGCATCTGAGGAAGGGCGTGGGGTGGAGGGCGTGAAGGAGGACGCTGGTGGCTGCAGGGCACTACACACTGGCCTGCCACGCCTCAGACGGAGATTATTCACGCGCTTTCCACGGGGACGGGAACGCTAGGCGCACTTCTAGCGGAAGGACTTGCATGGCCAGCCCAAGGCCGGCGCCCAGGATGTCAGGGCCGCCCGCGGTGAGAAAACGGCGTTGTTCAGCAGCGACCGGGCACCCCTCTGACTTTGGCTGTCGAGGGCGGGGTTGTTGGACGGGAGACCGATCGCCCAACAACGATCGGAACTTCGCACGAAGGTTTGCCAGCTCACTCCAGCGTCGCATCTCGAGGTCGTACCGCCGGGACCTGGGTGGGCCAGCCAACCTCTGACTGAAACTGCTCCTTCTCACCTCGGACTGCCCCCAAGCTCCTTCATAAAGCTATTGGATGATCGCCGACATATTCCGACCTGGGCGCAACATGGACAGCCACCTTCCGATCGCCACATTTTACCGCCCCCCCACCCCAGGAAAACATAGCATCCAGGAGCGGCACGCACTACTCCAAGCATCGGGCGCTCGACAGAGGGACCACATTCGGATCATGAAACCACGCCTCCGCCCAATCGAACAGATCGACCCTCGCACCGTCAAAATGTTTGCTCCACGTGGCCCCCCTGGGGCATGATATGGGGGCAAACCCATGTCGCTAGGGCCCGTTCTACCCTCGCTCTCGTTCTTCACCTCGCCGTCCTCAGGTTTACCCAAAACCCCTGCGAGAATACCTTGGGGTTCTCTTCTGGCTTTGGGATCTGCGGAATCCAAGTGCCAGCGTGACAAACTCTTTTATATATATATATATATTATATATATATATATATATATATATATATATATATATATAAAAAAAAAAAAAAAAAAAAAAAAAAAAAAAAAAAAAAAAAAAAAAAAAAAAAAATGCCCAGCCCACGATCACGAGCAGCTCGCCCATGCCTTCGACGGTGCAGTTGAGTTTTTCCGCCTAGTCCACCTCCTCGCCCTCAACCAGCTTCTCACGATCGTGCCACGCGTGGCCGTATGAACTATCCTTCGCTTGGCACCACGGGAAATCGGAATCCTCCTGGTACCCACGCTCTGCCCTGTGCCACACACACACACACACACTCCAAGCCCGTCGCCTCAGGGGGCATGCTCCACCATGCAGGCGCGCTGCCACTGTCGCGCATATCGCGTTTTCTTCGGCGGTGTCGTTAGCAACGAAATCGTTGCCCCATCCCGAAAACTAAACTGCGCTGGGCTCACCAGCACCCAGTCGATCCTTGCCATCGAAAGCATAAGCGCTGCGATCGGCCCAGAATAACTCGCCCAACTTGGACTCTCGCTGAACCTCGCCTTCACCGCCGACCAAGCATGCCACAGCTGAGAACATGGCAGCCTGCCATCCCACTGCCAGGCAGCCTATCTCTTCGCTACGTCCGCTATCGCGCCGCACGCAGGGCCCATGAACTCAGGCCACTACGTCGCCAGGTAGAACTTGAGCGATCTGTTTTTTTCTGGGGTACCCCGCCGATATGCCTGCCAGAATCCCCAACCTAGTCTGCATTGAATCCGAGATCCCCGCTATAGGTCGTGACGTCGGGCCGCTTGGTCCGCGCCGCTCCCTTGCTGCGAGCTCAGGCGGGCCGCGGCACCACACGTTGCTGCGCGCGACACTGATGCGCGGAGGTGAACGCGCAAGGGTCGCGGGGCGCTGTTTCTGCAAAACGAGGACCCAAGCCTTCAGGATGGTTGGGTGCTGTCTTCTGAGGAGGGCCCTGTGATCCTGCGAGTGCGTTTTGTGCTTACTCGTGGCAGAATTTCCTATGGTCTGACGGCCCCTGCCTCGTTTGCCCTACAAGCTCCGAGGTAAATTCCTCCCGTGTGCTGGCATTGCTTCCAGGGCCGGATGAGAGCTCACCCACTTGTCTCGCCTGGTCAAAGTCCCCCCCAGGGTCCGGCAGTCGTTTCGGCTCAAGTTGGGAGCACGCGCGCGGGCATGGCCGCCCTGGAGACCCTCCGGCTGGTGGTTCATGCTTGGTGCTTGGGTGGGCGGCCCGCTGCGCCCCTTGGAACGCGCGGCCGCCCTGCGGGACGCCCTGGCCTTGCTCGAGCCAGCCCCAGCCGCGCACCTCGCGGCCCGCGCCCTCGGGGCGGCCAGCTCGAGCCGCTCCTCGGCCGCCAGCAGGTTCTGAGAGCTTTCAAGTACGAGGCCCTCCCTCGCTCGGCGGCCACTTCGAGCGATGCGACGCCGATCTCGGCACCGCACGCAGGGGGATTGCCAGCGGCGAGCCCAGCAGAGCCCGGCCCCGCCCACAGCGGGCGGCGGGCCTGCCCTGCCGCTACAATTCGGCGATCTGGCGTGGGGTCTGCAACCTGGGCCGCACAGGGCTTCTCGCCCTCGGCACGGAGCTGCCGTTGGACTGGAGGCTGGAGCAAGTCGCAACGGCGCTGCTTGATCATGGGGTTGACATTTGCGCCCCGCCAAGCGCCCGTTCCCAACCAGGGGCACGACTCTTTGGATGTTGCCCATTTTCGTAGGTCGGCGACAGATCCACTGGCTGGGACACGGCGGGTCTTCTCTGCACGCCTGGAACTGGAGCGCGCCGCCAGGGTCCGCGAGGCCTGGTCGGAGGGCCGCGTCCTCAGAAAGGAGCTGTAGTCCACCTCGCAGAATGCGACCGCGCCCGCAGCAGCCACGGTGGCGTGCTATCCCCGCCCAGGGGGGGACAGGGACACCTGGCGCCGTGTCCTGGGCGCGGCTACGGCGCTGGGCGAGGGCGTTGATCGCGGGGGGTGCGAACATCCACCTCTCATACTTGGTGGCACGTCCCGCTGGCTGCGGCCGCGTGCACTACAAGCAGAGCCAAGCGAACGCTGAAATCCATGCGTGGCTGGCTGCTCGGGGCTGGCTGGAGTTCAACCGCCAGCGCCCCACGCCCCACGCCCGCGTCGGGCACAGTGCTCGACCTCGTCATCGGTGTCTGGCGGGACCCTCTCCCTGCGCACGTCGATGACCACGCGGTGGGCGCGTCCGACCACAGACTGGTCGTAGCAATGCTGCTGCGCCAGGCCACGTGTTCATGCGCCTCTGGGCTTAGGCGAGTGGCATGGACGTCGGGGCCGACGTGGGAGGATGCCCAGAAGCGATAGAGCCTCCGCTCGCAACTAACGGTCAAGGCCCAGCTGCCTCGCCGGTTCCACATCCGGGCGGTCCGTCACCTCGCGCTGGACTCGGCTGCGCGGTCCCGCGGCGCCATCCACGTCCTCGCTGGCCACGCCGGGGGGGCCACCCGCGCTGCCGCCGCCCCGTAGAGCGCCCCTGTCCAGGCGGCGCGAGGGGCGCCAGCAGCTCTCCAGGTGCCCGGGGCTCGAGTTGCTGCCAGGCATGCGGCCCTCAGGCGTTCAGACCCAGCGGCGGCGGACCTGCATGTATCGGACATGCTCGGTGGCCCCGCACGGTTCGAGGCTACCCTTGTTCACCCAGACACGGTGGCGCCCATGAACAGCGCGCCAACGATAGCAGCCACCATCGTGGAGGATCTCCAAGGGCGCGCCAACAACGACTTCCACCAGCACTCCGAGGAAGCGGACCGGCAGCAGCGTGACCAGAGTGCCATCCATTCGAGCGGGGGTGCACCGCGGGGCGGCTCGCCGCCGTCTGACTTGCCGCACACATCGGAAGAGATAGACGCGGCCATCAGGTCGCCGCGATCAGGCAGCGCCAGCGTTCACGGCTGCACGGCGGCAGTCATGGCGGAGGTTTCGCGGGGTGTCCAGACCGTGGATCAACCCCGCCCAATGTCAGTTGCGACGGAGATGGCGGCCGTCCAGGACGCCCTGTGGCTTGCCAGGAACGCCCCCTGCTTGCAGGCACACGCAAGGGGCGCCCAGCAAGGCGGCGTGGGCGACCCGCTCTCGATTTTTTGTTGTTTTTTCTCTCTCTCTCGCTCTCTCTCTCTCTGTCTCCTGCTGGCGATCATCATACATGCGCAGCTCCACGCGGCCAAGGGGCTGGACCCGCGATGGGCTATCACAGACATGAGCTGGGCATTCGATGTCGAATCCCACGCAGGCATGCCCATTAATGCCGAAGCTGCGGGGGCCCTGGAAGCGGACTGGCCCATGCTCGACGACATCATGCACCAAGACCGCCAGTGCCTATCACGGCACGGTTTCTTGAGTCCAGTTTTCGCCCTCGGATGCGGCGCGGCCCAAGGCCGGCGGCCGGCGGTCCAGCGCGCCGGTGTTCAACGCGCTCCTCCGCTGGCTGCCGGAGGAGATCAGCCAGGTCCATCTGACAGGATGCGCGGCCACGGTGCCAGCGTCCCAACCAGCTGCTCTCTCAGGCGGCGCCGCACGCGACCCCCCTGTCGGCGCCCCCCCCGACGCCCTCCGCGCAGGGGGTCGCAGAGGCGGCGAGAGCGATCCGAGCAGCCGCTGCCCGGGACAGCCCGCCCAGGCACGCGACGGCGCACCAGGTACTGCAATGGCTTCACACGCACACCCGTCGGCAGCAGACCGCGCCGCCCTCCTGGACGCCCTCGGGCACCATAGACTTCCACCGATGCAGTAGGTCGATGATATCTCAGCAGCATGGTCCTCTCCGGGCGCCTGCCGCGCCATGAGTGCGGACGAACCAGGCCCAGCTTGCTCGAGGTGCGCGCATCGCACCAAGTCCGCCTTCAGCTACAAGTCAGGCAAGTCGGCGTCCCACCCCGCGCTGGGGGCCCCCCGCCCAGGCGAGGCGGGGGGCCCAGCAGTGGAGGAGACGCGCATCCTGGGCGCCCTCGTCGACGCCCAGCCGCCCTTCGGCGCTCTCCTCGCCGAGATCATGGCGCGAGGGAGTGCCGCCTTCGAGGCGCCCCACTATGGCACCGAGTCCTCGGGCCTCGCGCTCCTGGCGGCGGCGGCCCAGGCCCCGGTCAGAGTGGTTTCGGCTATCGTGCGCGCAGCCCCCCTGCTAGCGGCCTCACCCCGGCGCGCCGCGCCCTCTCCGGGCCCCAGGCCGAGTGGGCCAGGCGCCTCCTTGGCCACCGCCGGGCGCAGGTGGCGCCAGATGCTTTAGTCGTAGCCCAGTGCGGGTGGCCGCTGCGATTGGGTTCGGAACTGATTGCGGGCGTAGTCATGGCGCGCGCCCGGCTAGCAGTGCTCCCCCAGGACCACCCTGGGGCCGCCATGTCCCAGCTGGCCTGCTCCGCGGTCGCCACCGCGTGGGACAACGAGGTGCGCCAGGTGATGGACGCCGCAACCATCCCAGACGCCGGCGCCCACCTGGCGGCGTCGGAGGAGCAGGTCGCGGCGGCCAGGGCGTCGGCCGACAGCAGGCGGACGCCCCTCAAGTGGTACCATCGCACCATTGTCCTCCCGGCCATACAGGCGAAGGACACGGGGAAGCTCGACCCAGCAGGCTCCACCACCTTTCCCGCCCTCGGGGCGGTGTTCTGCGAGCTCGTTCCAAGTGCCGCGAGGGTCCCTCGCGAATGGCTGGACGCGGATGGCCACCGCCACCATTGGCGGCACTTCCGGCTCTGGGTCTGGACGCGGCTTTCGGGCCAGCGGCCCGTCCCGCTGCTCACAGGAGAGGAGTTCGCAGCGCGCCTGCCGCCTTGCCCCCAGCGTGGAGCGCCGGCCCCATCAGTCGATCACCTGCCGGCCGCTTGCCCGGCCCCGGGCGTCGTCGCAATCCGCGACCAACGCAGACAGCGAGTCCTGCTGCCCGACAACGGCGCCGCGCTCGCGCACCAGCCGTTCAGGGAAGGCCCAGCGACGCAGCAGGTTTGCAATCGATACTTTCGAAAGCGCCACTGCCCTGGAAGTCCTCAAAAGTGGTGTCGGGTTGTTCTGCAACGCAAAGGAATGCGCATGCCTTGGCAGGTCGCCCTGAAGCGCTGCCGAAATTGTTCCTGACCATCTGCTGCCACTCCTGAAGCTGAGTAATACGTGGCAGTTGAAGAATACGCACCGTGTTTGATTATTTGGTAGGGGTGGTACCACCAAGAGAAAACTGTGAAAGCGTCTGTGATGAAATCGGTGGAGTAGGCGATTGTGCGCGCGCGGGAGAGACGTGACGTGTCTGAGTGGAAGCCGCTGCAGAGGCGGCGCCTGGTGACGCGCGTCGCGTTGGTCCAGCGCAGACGTTTCCACCGGCGTGGGTTGGGGCACAGTCGGCGCGAGGTTCTGGAGGCAGGATCGGATGGTAGATCTGAGCATCGCTCACGTGGGCCGCCAGGATAGCTTCAGTGGCCGTGATGTCGGTCTGCATCTCCTCAACACTCTGTCGTAGACCACGTACATATCTCGTCGTTGGTGTCGTGAGTTCGCTGGGAGTACCGGTCTAGCCGATGCTCCACGACCTGGATTCGTCGGTCGTGCGCTTCGCGCTCTTGTTCCAAACGGGCGAGTGCATTCTCATCCCGTGCCTTTGCAGCGTCTCTTTCGTGGGAGATCTGGGTGGGTCGTTACTGCGCATGGTCCGCCGCATTCCACGCCTCGGCCAGTCGGGCTTCGCGGGCGGCGATATCGCAAGCCGAAGTCGGCGTGCCCTGCAGATCAGTCTGGGTCCGTACCAAGCGCACCTCAGCCAGCGCAGCCGTCATTTCAGGCAACTGCTGCTCGACCGCGGAGACTCGGTTCTCAAGCGTGGGAACACGTATCCCTGAAGCGTCAAGACGTTGAACAGTAACCATCTCAGCACTTTCCAGCTTGCCGTGCAACACGGACGTGAGTGTGGCACTTTGGGAGTGTAGGTTGGCCGCAGTCAATTCAACCTGAGTGCGAAGCGCATTGAGGTCCTCGCGGAGCTGTTCATCCGCAAGTCCATGTACCTCCATCAGCTGGAACCTACCGCACTGTCATCAGCTCACCGTGTAGTGTCCCGACGGCAGCAGCGCCCGCGTCCCTGACGCCCACGAGTCGGGCCTCCACTGAGAGGAGGTAGTCGTGGAGCGCCTGACTTGCAGTGGAGTCGGAACCTCGGCGTGACTCCACGCGGTCGACTTGATACTGGACCTGGGCGAAGATCGATCGATCTTCAGCGATCAGAGCGTCGACAGGGGCAAGGGCGCGGTGGAGCTCTTGCCTCAGCGCTGCTGTCTGCGCAGCAAGACCGGACAAATGTCGGGCCGTGCAAGTTTCAACCTGGTCTCGACGCTCGGCCAGATCACTGGCTGAGGGAGACGCATGCGATGTGATATGGCACCGCGGGGCACTCTGCCGGGAGCGCCTCTGAGAGAGGCTGCAGTTGCTGTCCCAACTGGGAGACTGGATGTGATACCGCTCAGGGACGCTTCGCTGAGATGTCCGCCCAGTGCGATCTTCAATGACACGCGCGCGTTCAGCCACGGAAACCAAGGCCGGGGACACGATATCTCCCCAGCGGCGGTTGCGCGCGAAGGCGTTCTCAGGAGACGATTCTCTGGCGCCGCCACAACGGGTGTTTCCGCGAGCGAAGGTTGGAGAAGAAGATGGAGGCGAGGCGAATCCAGCGGTGACTCCGAGGGCATCTGCTGGTGTTTCCACTGGCGAGGGCACAAGACGAAAGGCGGTGCCAGGAAACGCACTGGACGTATCAGGCGCCAGGGCATGGCGTTCGATCCCAGGCGCGCGAGCGGGCGCGCGCGCGCGGGCGGCGAATCGGGGATGAGGGCCCCGAGCGCAGCCTCGAGCAACACGGCGCTGCCGACGCCTGAAGGGGGGGGGCGGCATCGCCAGTCCTCTCGCCCTCTCCGCGGCGTCGCGGCGCCCGCGCTCCGTCGAAGGCCCTGCGCGCATAGCGGCAGAGGGGCCCCGCGCCTCGCGGCAGAGCCAACGACGAAGCGGAGCGTCGCGACGGGGGGCGTGAAAGAACAGGCTGGTAACCTGTGGATGTAGGTTGACGACCAAAGAGTCGAACCTACCGTGTTTCCGCATGTAGAGGTAGGAAAGGAAGAGGGTCGCGAGTCCTTTTCCCAGCGCACTGCGCATGAGGCAGCGCGATGTGCTATACCAATACCTGAGCCGAGACGTCGGCGGTAGATAAGGATACAATGGTGATGCGAGCGGACTTCGCACACGCATGCGGGACGTGAAAGCACCCGGCGAGCTTCAAAGCGAGCCGCCGGGCCTGCCGTCACAGGCAAGTCAGGCGGGCGGCCCAAACGGACCGGTCTGGCGGGAGGATCAAAGCGTGAGTCCTAAATGAATTGTAAGGAAGTCTCAGGCGAGAGCGCGCGGGTACATCATCGCTACTTGGCGCGCGTAGCCGGCGCGGCGCAGCCCCTAGAACAAGGAAAAAGGGGAGACAGGAACGAATTGGAAAGGACAGAGAGAGAAAGAGAGAGAGGGAGAGTGAGGGATACATGTAGGACAAAGATGGATTACGAATGGGATTGACAGGAGACAGGCTAAGAGCAGGAAAACAAGCGGTTGAACTAGACGCGCGGGCGGCGGGCGGCACCCGACAGTCGGATCGGGCGGGCGTCGCAAGTTGCGAATGGGTTCGCGCCATGGCTGGAACACGATATTGCAACATAAGTTAGCTATGGGTTTCGCATGGGTCGCGCCATCAGGCGCGCCATGCACCATCCCGTGAGAACGAACGACGACTACGAGAATGAAGGGCCTCTGGGGCCAGGGGGGCGAGTGGGCCGGGGCCAGGGCCAAGGATCTGGGCGGGGGGGGGGCAGGAGCGAGGATGGTGGAGTGGGGAAGGCAGTAAAACTCCCTGGGGCACACGGGGCTACGCTGGGGCCGCGCAGGGCAGCAATGGGGCCACCGCGGGCGCGAGCGACTGGAGACCACGAAGAGCGCGCATACATGGGCCACGGAGGGCAGCGAGGGCGCCGCCGAAGGCAAAAGCAGGGCCACGAAGGGCGGCAATGGGGCCACTGAGGGCACAAGCGACCGCAGGCCACGACGGGCGAACACATGGGCCACGAAGGGCCTACGCCGGGGCCGCGAAGGTCAGCAACGGGGCACCTGAGGCACGAGCGACTGGGGCCACGAAGGGCGAACCCACGGGCCACCTAGGGCAGCGAAGCGAGGGGGCCACTGAGGGCAACGGGGGGGGGCACACGGGGCTACACTGGAGCCACGAAGGGCAACAATGGGGCCACTGAGTGCACGAGCGACTGGGGGCCACGAAGGGCGAATATATGAGCCACAGAGGGCAGCGAGGGGCAGCAGCGGGGCCGCGCGGGGCAGCAACGGGGCCACTGGGGGCACGAGCGACTGGGGGCCACCACGAAGGACACATACATGGACCATAAAGGGCAGCGATGGGGCCACTGAGGGCAGCATCGGGGCCACGAAGGGCAGGGGAGGGGCCACGAAGGGCAGCAATTTGGCACAAGAGGCGCGAGCGAGCATGGGGCACGAAGGGCGTGGCCCTGACGGACGGGCCGACCAGGCGGATCAATCGTGAGTTCTGAGCGATTCTAAGGTAAATTTGAAGAAGTCCCCAGCGAACGCGCGATTCCTGAATGGCAAAAGCGCGGCGCCTGAATAAATTGCAAGGAAGTCTCAAGCGGGAACGCGATTCTTGAATAAATTGCGGGGAAATCTCCAGCGGGAGCGGGGGGCCGGAGTACATTTCGAGGAAGCATCATGCGGGGGCCGCTGTCGCGGTAAACCGGGGGCCAGGGGCGCAGTTTGAGGGGGGGGCTTTCCCTCGTGAAAAACAAAGTGCGGGCGCCAGGAGGGCCAATCCAATTGGAAAAATGAAATGCGCACCAGGGGGGGGGATCAACAATAATTATCCATGTCTTTCTACCGCCCCGATCGGCATGCAAAGCCAGCGCAACGTCGGGTGGCGAAGTACTTGGGGCCCGGCAGGGCCACATCAGACGAATCGATAAGACGCGAATCGATAAGACGCTGCACCGCGTCTCGACATAATATAGATCAGGAAAGGAGGTCGCGCGCACAGGCCCGACCGACCAACGACGCAAGGCGGCGGAGAGGACGGAAGGAGGACAGCGAGCTGCGGTCCGATACAGACACTGATAAAGCTCCTGAGCGAAAATCCATGTCTTTTTACAGCCCCGATCGGCGTACCATGCCAGCGCCACGTCGGGTGGCGAAGTATCTGGGGCCCGGCAGGGGCGCATCAAACGAGCTGATTAGACGCGCGCATCTCTGTCCAGAATTGCTGAAACGCCGAGATTATGCGAAGTCGCGCCCTGGGACAGAACCCAAAATAAAACGAGAACCACAGGGCGACAGGAAAGCCGCAGACCCGGGCCCCCAGAGGCCGAGGAAAGGGCCCGAACCCGAGGCAAAGGGACGACCCAACTACGGGAGCGGGCGGACGGGCAAAAAGAAAAGGAAGGAGGGAGACGATGCACCGACGGAGCCGATCCTTGACTCGGCGGCACAGCTCCGACGACAGGCGGGCAGCACTGCGAGGGGTCTCAATCACCGTGGTTCGCGCGAGCTTCCCGAGCTGGCGGAGGAGCCCGACCGGCTCGTCGCAGCGGCGGACGGAGTTGACCACCGACGAACGTCCTCGCATCATGACGGCGCCCAGCGTTGCGCAGTTGCACTGCATGCCATGCGACGGCCCTGCGCGTTGGAGACAGCGCGTCGCGATGCGCGCGCCATCGACCTGGCCGTAGTTGCGGAAGATCTGCTCGAGCTTTGCGAGCGCCATGTGCCGCGGGAGCGCGAGGGCAGGGTCGGCCCTGAAGGCCAGCTTCTTCACGATGTCAGCGGCGCAGCCTCGGCCGCGGGCGCCAAGGACCACCCCCTGGTCGAACTGCTTGTTCTTAGC